TAACCTCAGATCAGGCAAGATTACCCGCTGAATTTAAGCATATTAATAAGCGGAGGAAAAGAATAACAAAGGATTCCCCTAGTAATGGCGAATGAAGAGAATAGCTCAAATTGAAAATCTCCATTGTGTTGCAATGGCGAATGTAGTTTCGAGAAATACTCCGCACGTCGGGCCTGCCTAAGTTGCTTGGAACAGCACGTCATAGAGGGTGACAACCCGTTACGTGGCAAATTGTGTTTGCGAGGTGTTTTCGAAGAGTCGGGTTGTTTGGGAATGCAGCCAAAATGGGTGGTAAACTCCATCTAAAGCTAAATATGGGCACGAGACCGATAGCGAACAAGTACCGTGAGGAAAGATGAAAAGGACTTTGAAAGAGAGTTAAAAGTACGTGAAACCGTTGAAAGGAAGCGAATGGAGTTAGCAATTCGTTTGTCAGATTCAGTTGCATGCACGCAGCAACGTGCGCGCTCTTGATCCGCATGGACAAGGTGTACGGATGCAACATGCAGGCACGCTTTGGCAACGAGCGTCAGCATTGGTTGTTGTTGAGCGATAAGGTTGCAAGGAAGGTAGACGAATTTATCGTTGTTAAGCCTTGCATTCGCATGGTTTGATGACAACCATGGCACTGCAACGTGTGCTTTGCTGGCAACAACTTCTCGGTCCGACATGTGACTGTGGTGGACGGCTCGCCTGTGCCTCAAACTGCTGTCGGTCGCGTGTTGGTGTTTGCACATTACACGTTAAGGATGCTGACGATCATACGGCTATCCGACCCGTCTTGGACCAAGGAGTCTAACATGTGCGCAAGTCTCCGGGTGATTGAAACCTGTGGGCACAATGAAAGTAAAGACTGTCCTAGACAGTTGAGGTGAGAGTCTCATCGAGACTGCATCATCGACCGACCTATTCTGCTCTCAGAGAGGTTTGAGTAAGAGCGTATCTGTTGGGACCCGAAGAGATGGTGAACTATGCCTGAATAGGGTGAAGCCAGCGGAAACACTGGTGGAAGCTCGTAGCGATTCTGACGTGCAAATCGATCGTCGAATTTGGGTATAGCGGCGAAAGACTAATCGAACCATCTAGTAGCTGGTTCCTCGAAGTTTCCCTCAGGATAGCTGGAGCTCTTTGTGCAGTTTATCAGGTAAAGCGAATGATTAGAGGTCTAGGGTCAGTGACCTTAACCTATTCTCAAACTTTAAATTGGTAAGAAGTCAACTTGTAACTGAAGTTGGACATTCGAATGCTGAAGCTCTTAGTGGGCCATTTTGGTAAGCAGAACTGGCGATGCGGGATGAACCGAACGCCGAGTTAAGGTGCCAAAGTCGACGCTCATCAGATCCCACAAAAGGTGTTAGTTGATATTGACAGCAGGACGGTGGCCATGGAAGTCGGAATCCGCTAAGGAGTGTGTAACAACTCACCTGCCGAATCAACTAGCCCTGAAAATGGATGGCGCTCAAGCGTCGCACTATACTCGGCCGTCAAAGCAAGTGCGATGTTTTGACGAGTAGGAGCGCAGTGGTCGTGACGCAAGCCTGGCGCAAGCCAGGTGAAACGGCCACTGGGTGGTGGACGGACGGTTGAGTCGATCCTAGAGATAGAAATTCCGTTACAAAGCGTCCCATTTGTGGACCGCCTATCGAAAGAAAGGAATCGGGTTAATATTCCCGAACCAGAACAGGGATACTGCCACCTAGTGGCACAAGCGTAACACAACCGAACTCGAGACGTCGGCGAGAGCCGGAAGAGTTCTCTTTTCTTTAACGGACAACGTTACCCAAATCGGTTTAGCCGGAGATAGGGTTTCACGTCCGGTAAACCCCACTTCTTGTGGGGTCCGGTGCCTTTGACGGCCCTTGAAAATCGGGAGTGGTTCATTTTCTTGTCTGGTCGTACTCATAACCGCAGCAGGTCTCCAGGTGAGCAGCCTCTAGTTGATAGAGACAATGGAAGGGAAGTCGGCAAAATAGATCCGTAACTTCGGGAAAAGGATTGGCTCTAAGGGTTGGGTCTGTCGGGCTGGGACTTGAAGCGTGAGGACTCGGCGTGGGCTGACGGAATGCGTGGCTTGCTGCGTGTCTAAGTCGGACTGCGAAGGGACTTCGCGTGGATTATCTCGCTGTGACCGTCAGGTCGATTCGGCAAACAATTAACAACCAACTTAGAACTGGAACGGACAAGGGAATCCGACTGTTTAATTAAAACAAAGCATTGCGATGGCTAGTGATTGGTGTTGACGCAATGTGATTTCTGCCAGTGCTCTGAATGTCAAGTGAAGTAATTCATCCAAGCGCGGTAAACGGCGGGGTAACTATGACTCTCTTAAGGTAGCAAATGCCTCGTCATCTAATTAGTGACGCGTGAATGGATTAACAGATTCCCACTGTCCTATCTACTATCTAAAACCACAGCCAAGGAACGGGCAGGCAACAGCGGAAAGAAGACCCTGTTGAGCTTGACTCTAGTCTGACTCTGTGAAGAACATGGAGGTGTAGAATAAGTGGGAGGAGCAATCCGTCGGTGAAATACCACTACTCTTATCGTTTTTACTTATTCGGTGAAGCGGAGCTGGACATCAAGTCCACTTTTGGAATTAAGATCGCTCTTCTGCCGGTCGATCCGAGCCGAACACTGTCAGGTTGGGAGTTTGGCTGGGGCGGCACGACTGTCAAATGATTGCAGGTGTCCTAAGGTGAGCTCAATGAGAACGGAAATCTCATGTAGAATAAAGGGTAAAAGCTCACTTGATTTTGATTTTCAGTATGAATACAAACTGTGAAAGCATGGCCTATCGATCCCTTAGTCTTTATGAGTTTTAAGCTAGGGGTGTCAGAAAAGTTACCACAGGGATAACTGGCTTGTAGCGTAAGCGTTCATAGCGACGTTGCTTTTGATCCTTCGATGTCGGCTCTTCCTATCATTGCGAAGCAGAATTCGCCAAGCGTCGGATTGTTCACCGCCAATAGGGAACGTGAGCTGGGTTTAGACCGTCGTGAGACAGGTTAGTTTTACCCTACTGTTGAAGTGTTGTTGCAATAGTAATTCTGCTCAGTACGAGGAGGAACGCAGATTCCAGACAATGGTGGGCTCATGTACGCCTGAAAAGACAATGGTGCGAAGCTACCATCTTGTTCCGGATTATGATTGAACGCCCTCTAAATCCAGATCCGTGCTAGAACCTGGCAATTCCTTTCTCTGGACGACTTAAGCGAACCCAGAATAGAGATGCTTGTCATCTCCGTCTGAATGTGCCTACAGTGCGGACTATGCGCAAAGCACTGCATTGATCAAAATCTGAATGTTTCAGAGCTAAAATCCTTTGCAGACGACTTAAAATAAGAACGGGGTATTGTAGCAGTAGAGTAGCCTTGTGCTACGATCTGCTGGTCGCCTTGTTTAAGATTTGTTACTTTTTAATTGTTTAACATCCTTGTTTGCATGTTGGGAGGAATGGTTGGCCTTTGTAATAACATAGGTGAGGTCTTGTGTTGTTTACATACTAAGTCCTCAAAGTGTTGGGGAAAGGGAACTGTGTTATCTTCCAAGTATAAGGTGGCCATGATAGCACCTGCTGAAAAATGAAGTGTTATCTAGTTGTTACAAATCAACATGCCCTTTGTAACCAGGACACATGTTTGACCATGATAAAATCTTCAAAATAAATCACATTATTATGTGTATGACATGTGTAAACATACATGACATGGTTATACATTGTATGGACTGTATTGTACAGTCAGCAGAGTGCTCAAATCTAAAAGACAAGCTTTTCCATAATGCAAAATGGTAAACGCCATAATATGAGAGCCTGTACACATAGCAAGAGTGCTCAAATTGCACATGCACAGTGTGATGATATGTACATCGGCGTTGTGTTAAACAGTGATAGACCCTTCTCATCAGAATGATGTTTGAGTGCTATTTCTGCATTCTGAATGATTTATGCAACCAGCTAACATCCTTAGCTGATCCACTGACATTACGTTTAAAACTCGTAATTTTAGTTTTTTATGTTAGAAAAAATCTATATGTCATGGCCAATCACAAAGACACCTCTAAGAGGAGAAAATTGAGTTACGGTGACCATAAGAAGGCCTCTCTGAGAGGGGAAAAATAAGTCACGGTGAACATCCGAAGGCCTCTCTGAGAGGGAGAATTGAGTCACGTTGACCATCAGAAGGCCTCTCTGAGGGAGAAATAAGTCACGGTGAACATCAGAAGGCCTCTCTGAGAGGGAAAAGTGAGTCACGGTGACCATCAGAAGGCCTCTGAGAGGGAGAAATGAGTCACGGAGACCATCAGAAGGCCTCTGTGAGAGGAAAAGTGAGTCACAGAGACCATCAGAAGGCCTCTGAGACGGGAAAATGAGTCACGGTGACCATCACAAGGCCTCTCTGAGAGGGGAAAATAAGTCACGGTGAACATCCGAAGGCCTCTCTGAGAGGGAGAATTGAGTCACGTTGACCATCAGAAGGCCTCTGAGAGGGAGAAATGAGTCACGGAGACCATCAGAAGGCCTCTGTGAGAGGGAAAGTGAGTCACAGAGACCATTAGAAGGCCTCTGAGACGGGAAAATGAGTAACGGTGACCATCACAAGGCCTCTCTGAGAGGGAATAACAAGTCACGGTGAACATCAGAAGGCCTCTGAGAGGGAAAAGTGAGTCACGGTGACCATCACAAGGCCTCTCTGAGAGGGAGAAATAAGTCACGGTGAACATCAGAAGGCCTCTGAGAGGGAAAAGAGTCACGGTGACCATCAGAAGGCCTCTGAGAGGGAGAAATGAGTCACGGAGACCATCAGAAGGCCTCTGTGAGAGGGGAAAGTGAGTCACAGAGACCATCAGAAGGCCTCTGAGACGGGGAAATGAGTCACGGTGACCATCACAAGGCCTCTGAGAGGGAAAATAAGTCACGGTGAACATCAGAAGGCCTCTGAGAGGGAAAAGTGAGTCACGGTGACCATCAGAAGGCCTCTCTGAGAGGGAGAAATGAGTCACGGAGACCATCAGAAGGCCTCTGTGAGAGGAAAAGTGAGTCACAGAGACCATCAGAAGGCCTCTGAGACGGGAAAATGAGTCACGGTGACCATCACAAGGCCTCTCTGAGAGGGAATAACAAGTCACGGTGAACATCAGAAGGCCTCTCTGAGAGGGGAAAAGTGAGTCACGGTGACCATCACAAGGCCTCTCTGAGAGGGAGAAATAAGTCACGGTGAACATCAGAAGGCCTCTCTGAGAGGGAAAAGTGAGTCACGGTGACCATCAGAAGGCCTCAAGAGGGAGAAATGAGTCACGGAGACCATCAATGTAAGGTAAAGTGTGAAAGTGATTGTAATCCAAGAGAATGTGCTATCAACTTTTTTTGAGAGGGAAATATAAAGAAATGTGAAAATGTAAATAATTTCAAAAGACATTAGAAGTTTTTCTTAGTTCACATATCAAAACAAAGCCCTTAGCAGATCAATGTAATGGTATATGTTGTTTGAAACTTGTAGAGGAAAAGTGAGTCAGAAAAAGTAAGGCCTTGTAATTGTAGCTAAATTTGAAAATATAAGCCTCTTTGATATCGTGGAAAGATATTTTCTACAATTCACATATCAAAAGAAAGCTCATAATAATCAATGTAATGGTAACCATTTGAAGTTCAAATTGAGTGTAACCATAAAGAGATATGTGCTAGTTTAACTTGTATTCATAATATAAAAGAAATGTGAAAATGTAAATAATTTTTAAAAGACTTATTACAAGTTTTTCTTATAATTCACATATCAAAACAAAGCCTTTGTTGAGTCATGCTCATAAACCACAAAACATGTTAAGGAAATAGTATGTGCTGTTTATTAATGTATCCGTTCACACAGAGCCAAGGAACAGTTATTGACGTTAGTTAAATTTCCTATATACCATATATAGCGTAAACAGAGGAACTATGGCCAATAACAAAATTTGTTGTTTGCAATAAATAGTATAAATGCTGCTCTGTAAAATAATAAAAATCAGTTGATCATTAAGTTCACTCGTGGTTGTTACTCAAAGTATAGACTATACTAAGAAAGAGATATGGCGAGTAACACGAACTCAACACCCTTAGACAGATCAATGTAATGGTATATGTTTTTGAAATTTGGTTGTAATGAAAAAGTGATATCAGAAAAAGTAACTTCAAGTTTTGGTGTAATTGTAGCTAAAATTTGAAAATATAAATAATTTTTTATATAGTGTTTTTTAAAGATATTTTCTACAATTCACATATCAAAAGAAAGCTCATAACCTAATCAATGTAATGGTACCATTTGTGTTCAAATTGATTGTAATCATAAAGAGATATGTGCTAGTTTAACTTGTATTTTTTGTGCATAATATAAAGAAATGTGAAAATGTAAATAATTTTTAAAAGACTTATTACAAGTTTTTCTTATAATTCACATATCAAAACAAAGCCCTTAGACAGATCAATGTAATGGTATATGTTGTTTGAAATTTGGTTGTAATGAAAAGTGATATCAGAAAAAGTAACTTCAAGTTTTGGTGTAATTGTAGCTAAAATTTGAAAATATAAATAATTTTATATCGTGTTTTTAAAGATATTTTCTACAATTCACATATCAAAAGAAAGCTCATAACCTAATCAATGTAATGGTACCATTTGTGTTCAAATTGATTGTAATCATAAAGAGATATGTGCTAGTTTAACTTGTATTTTTGCATAATATAAAGAAATGTGAAAATGTAAATTTTTTAAAAGACTTATTACAAGTTTTTCTTATAATTCACATATCAAAACAAAGCCTTAGACAGATCAATGTAATGGTATATGTTGTTTGAAATTTGGTTGTAATGAAAAAGTGATATCAGAAAAAGTAACTTCAAGTTTTGGTGTAATTGTAGCTAAAATTTGAAATTATAAATAATTTTTATATAGTGTTTTTAAAGATATTTTCTACAATTCACATATCAAAAGAAAGCTCATAACCTAATCAATGTAATGGTACCATTTGTGTTCAAATTGATTGTAATCATAAAGAGATATGTGCTAGTTTAACTTGTATTTTTGTGCATAATATAAAGAAATGTGAAAATGTAAATAATTTTTTAAAAGACTTATTACAAGTTTTTCTTATAATTCACATATCAAAACAAAGCCCTTAGACAGATCAATGTAATGGTATATGTTGTTTGAAATTTGGTTGTAATGAAAAAGTGATATCAGAAAAAGTAACTTCAAGTTTTGGTGTAATTGTAGCTAAAATTTGAAAATATAAATAATTTTTATATTGTGTTTTTAAAGATATTTTCTACAATTCACATATCAAAGAAAGCTCATAACCTAATCAATGTAATGGTACCATTTGTGTTCAAATTGATTGTAATCATAAAGAGATATGTGCTAGTTTAACTTGTATTTTTTGCATAATATAAAGAAATGTGAAAATGTAAATAATTTTTTAAAAGACTTATTACAAGTTTTTCTTATAATTCACATATCAAAACAAAGCCCTTAGACAGATCAATGTAATGGTATATGTTGTTTGAAATTTGGTTGTAATGAAAAGTGATATCAGAAAAAGTAACTTCAAGTTTTGGTGTAATTGTAGCTAAAATTTGAAAATATAAATAATTTTTATATAGTGTTTTTAAAGATATTTTCTACAATTCATATCAAAGAAAGCTCATAACCTAAACAATGTAATGGTACCATTTGTGTTCAAATTGATTGTAATCATAAAGAGATATGTGCTAGTTTAACTTGTATTTTTCGCATAATATAAAGAAATGTGAAAATGTAAATAATTTTTAAAGACTTATTACAAGTTTTCTTCTAATTCACATATCAAAACAAAGCTCTTAGACAGATCAATGTAATGGTATATGTTGTTTGAAATTTGGTTGTAATGAAAAGTGATATCAGAAAAAGTAACTTCAAGTTTTGGTGTAATTGTAGCTAAAATTTGAAATTATAAATAATTTTTTATATAGTGTTTTTTAAAGATATTTTCTACACTTCACATATCAAAAGAAAGCTCATAACCTAATCAATGTAATGGTACCATTTGTGTTCAAATTGATTGTAATCATAAAGAGATATGTGCTAGTTTAACTTGTATTTTTGTGCATAATATAAAGAAATGTGAAAATGTAAATAATTTTTAAAAGACTTATTACAAGTTTTTCTTATAATTCACATATCAAAACAAAGCCCTTAGACAGATCAATGTAATGGTATATGTTGTTTGAAATTTGGTTGTAATGAAAAAGTGATATCAGAAAAAGTAACTTCAAGTTTTGGTGTAATTGTAGCTAAAATTTGAAAATATAAATAATTTTTATATCGTGTTTTTAAAGATATTTTCTACAATTCACATATCAAAAGAAAGCTCATAACCTAATCAATGTAATGGTACCATTT